CCCCAAAACCCCAAAACCCCAAAACCCCGTCATGAATTATCAAAAATTATTAAGGGAAAATGCAGAAATTCATGAAAACTTTTATTGATAATTATTCGTAAATTATATAGAATAGTTTAATAAAATTAAAAAGACTCATATAAATGCCATCTAAGCAGAATAGAAATTTAGGCTAATTTCTTCATAAATCAGTAAAGAGTATGGATGTATTTGGAATACCAGTTTCATTGACTTATAAAAATGAGCCTCGTATTAAATCATTTTCTGGTGGATTCGCTACTATCTTTATGCGTAGTGGAGTTTTAGCATACTTATTATATCAGTGTGTTGATGTACTTAAGAGAAAAACTATCCTATAATCCTCATCTTTAAAATTAGATCTTTCAAATGAAGAAAATATGTATAGACTAACTTAAAATGAGTTCGATATAGCATTTAAAGCTGAGTATAATTTCTTTAAAACAGAGCCTGAAGTTTAAGAAAATATAGAGTTATACGCCTATATCTAGCTCAGTTAAAATATATATACTTGGACTACACAAAATGGAAGAAGTACTTAAGTGAGACAAAGGAACAGATTAGAAACTGAAATTTGCTAGTATGGTAGACTAGGACTATAAGAGGATACTATTGATTATTTGAACATTGCCAAGACATATTAATGCCCCAAAAAATTAGACTTCTAGCTTTAAGGTAGCTATTCTGCAAGAGTATCTAAGTAGATTTAAATAGGAATATATCCTTGCAATTAAACTTATCTCGATATTACAACTAATGGGACTAAAAAATGTAAGTCTAAAGAAGAGCAGTATAGAGTAGGTGCAAACTTGAAATTATATGTTGTAGTATAGAACTCATTCTTTGACTAAGATAATTTTAGTGACAATTCGATAAAAACTTCGCTTAAGCCTTATTTTTTGACTCCAAGCTATAATCAAAGCCACTCTTATTTATTCTTACTCAGTAAGAATTAGGTATAATTAAAGGATTCAATGTTTTATGGAGAAATACAATAAAAGGAATATATTGAGACAAGATTGGATTACCTTAATGTACAAG